AAAATTTAGTTCTAAGGAATATTTTCTGTGGACAGTGGATTATCATTCTGTTGCAAGTGTCACTCCTACAGGTTGCTATAAGTATTACGCGAATACATGCATGAAATTACCCTGCGCAAAAGGAAGAGATTATAAATGAATTTATGTGTGTATGTAAATATTTTTAGTTGCATTTTAGAATACTTTATATTCTAGTATTATTACACACATGCAATACGATTTTTCTTTCGTATATAAATAATTAGTATATTTTTTATTAGTGCCTAATAATATAAAATGGAAGAGTTAATTTAGTTTGCAAAATAAATTAAGACCTGCAGAAGGGTTAATTTGGAGCACAAAGCTGTATCAACCAGAGTATTACTCGAATAATCTTCGTATTAAGATCTCGAATAAAAGGATAACGAGAATTTGAAAGGATAATTTTGGTATAAGATTTTGGAGAACTCCATTAAAAATATGTATAATAAATTACTACCTAACAATAAACATTTAAGATTGTGAAAAGATCTTGATATTTCTTTGACATCCTTAAATGGAAGACTTTTTCAACTACTGAGTTTACTTTTCATACATTTTGTTTTTATTTTCTATTCTCATTTATTTTATTTTATTTAAGATTACAGGTATAAGATGAGTTTTAGTAATAAAACAGATTAAATTTGTACTTAAAGATTGTTCAAATGACGTCTAAATTCTGATATTATTATGCTGTCCCCTTGTAAACTCTGTTCTGTTTTATTTTTATAAACGTACTTTTATTGTTGTCCCATTATGCTTTCAGTTTCGAGATTATAATCTGAAAAATTTTCCTTTGAAGATATTAAAGGAACATTATTTTTAACGTGATGATATAAGTAACGTCAATATATTAACACACTTAGCACATAAATGTTCGTGGTGTATGTAAGTTTGTACTGAACATACAAATGTATTTAGTACACTGTTTTTGGTAAATATATTATTTCGATAAAATCGCTGTTACTAGATGGGTTAAGAAACTGCATAGTAAAAAGTGGTCTAGGCTTTCCAAGGTTAGGGATAATGGCGACATAGGGAAAAAAGGCATGGAGAATTACGCGAGAGGCTTTGGGAGGAAAATGACAATATAAGGAAAGAATGCAATATTATTCGAGCGAGTAGTGAATATTGAAATTTCTGAATTTTCAAATTTCTAAATTACCGAATTTCCAAATTATCAAATTACCAAATTTTTAAATTACAAAATTTCCAAATTACCAAATTACCAAATTTCCAAATTATCAAATTACCAAATTACCAAATTACCAAATTACCAAATTTCCAAATTATCAAATTACCAAATTTCCAAATTACCAAATTAGCAAATTACCAAATTACCAAATTAGCAAATTAACAAATTAGCAAATTTCCAAATTACAAAATTTCCAAATTACAAAATTATCAAATTTCCAAATTTCCAAATTTCCAAATTTCCAAATTTCCAAATTTCCAAATTTCCAAATTCCCAAATTTCCAAATTTCCAAATTTCCAAATTCCCAAATTTCCAAATTTCCAAATTTCCAAATTCCCAAATTTCCAAATTTCCAAATTTCCAAATTCCCAAATTTCCAAATTTCCAAATTTCCAAATTCCCAAATTTCCAAATTTCCAAATTTCCAAATTCCCAAATTTCCAAATTTCCAAATTTCCAAATTCCCAAATTTCCAAATTTCCAAATTTCCAAATTCCCAAATTTCCAAATTTCCAAATTTCCAAATTCCCAAATTTCCAAATTTCCAAATTTCCAAATTCCCAAATTTCCAAATTTCCAAATTTCCAAATTCCCAAATTTCCAAATTTCCAAATTTCCAAATTCCCAAATTTCCAAATTTCCAAATTTCCAAATTCCCAAATTTCCAAATTTCCAAATTTCCAAATTCCCAAATTTCCAAATTTCCAAATTTCCAAATTCCCAAATTTCCAAATTTCCAAATTTCCAAATTCCCAAATTTCCAAATTTCCAAATTTCCAAATTCCCAAATTTCCAAATTTCCAAATTTCCAAATTCCCAAATTTCCAAATTTCCAAATTTCCAAATTCCCAAATTTCCAAATTTCCAAATTTCCAAATTCCCAAATTTCCAAATTTCCAAATTTCCAAATTCCCAAATTTCCAAATTTCCAAATTTCCAAATTCCCAAATTTCCAAATTTCCAAATTTCCAAATTCCCAAATTTCCAAATTTCCAAATTTCCAAATTCCCAAATTTCCAAATTTCCAAATTTCCAAATTCCCAAATTTCCAAATTTCCAAATTTCCAAATTCCCAAATTTCCAAATTTCCAAATTTCCAAATTCCCAAATTTCCAAATTTTTGAAAATTTTCCAAATCCCAAACTCTCAAATGCCCAATACCCAAATCCCTAAATCCCTAAATCCCTAAATCCTTAAATCCCTAAATTCCCAAATTCCAAACCTCAAAATTTCCAAATTTCTAACTACAAAAATTCCCAAATTGTCAATTTCCTAACTCTCCATATCCCCCAATTTCTAAATTTCCAGCTAACTTTTCTAAATTATAAAATTTGAAAGTTCCAAATCCCCAAATTCAAGTCTTTAAATTGCAAGGCTAAATGGCCCTAACAAGCTAGATATATTGCATGACTCTTAAGTTACAGCGAATGGTAGAACTGCCCCTACATTTTCCCTAAGGAAGCCTATCTCGACACTGTAGAACTCATAAAGAATGTACACCTATAAAAGATATAGTGCACATGTGACAAGTGTGTTTTGAGGTTAGGTTAGAGTCAGGAGCGACTCATCCCATGTGGTACATTAGTGGTGTATGTTTAAATTTCACACGCGCCTCGATTGCTTTTAACAGACGAACGATCATTAAATTTCATACAACAGAAATAAAACCAAGAATAGAATTTGGCATGCCTTCATAAAGAAACGTGTGCATAACCTAATACAATTTCTTATTAGGCAGAAATGATTCACTGATTGTGTCATCGAAGCACTGTTTCATCAAACGAGTCGTGACAGGTATATTTATAAAACTGGTCCTGTTTTTTAAAATGTCCCTGTCGCAATAGTGTACTTAAACGATTATGATCGATAGTAAATAGATAACAAAAGTAGAAAAAATAGTATTAACATCCCTGTCAAGGAAATTTGTAATTTGTTTAAAAAAGAGGTTAGAAAAAACTATGTTGAATATCGTACCCTTGTAGTGTAACAAAGTTTAGATATTTTTAATACAAACCATTTTGTGTATATTTTAAAGAATACATATAATACAAATATTTCCTACTGTAAGTATATGCGTATTGCTTTATCAAATAATAAGGTACTTTAAAAGCGAAATTGCTGTCTTGGTGTAAATAATGTATTACAAGAAGGCGACACGCGATATACGCTATCCGTACTTTGACGTTTTCGACACCACGTGGTTTTTCGTTCACTAGTATGACTTAACGTAGTTGACTGCACGAACACGCCTATCGATTTTGAAGCAGACACTGCACTCGCACACACTATACCATCTTTCGTCGGATAAACACACGATCACACTACAATAGAACCGTACTGTAGGGCTTATGTGATGCAGTATATATATATTTAGTAGTCCAGTGCACCCTTAGCCGCGCCCTTGAGTCTATTTTTAGCTACTGTTTCATGAAAAAGCCGGCCGAGATGACATATACTGTACAATAAGCGATGAGACAATTACCGACTTTGTTCTATTATCAAGCAAGAGTTCATTTACCCATTTTTAAGAAATAACATCCTCTGTACTATTATAGATCGAAGTTCGATCGATCAATATGTATAAATAAGTGAATTCGATGGAGCGACTTCCGGAGTCCACTTTGGTACTTCTACATAATTGCAAGTTATCATTCGATAATACTGAAAATGATATCATAACGTCATTTCGTAAAAATAAATCATTAATCTTCTTCAGTGGGTGTCAATATCATGCACAGTCCACAGGAAATATTTTGCACACGTATTTTTCAATAATGTTTCATAAAATTTCAGGATCAAATGAGTATTCACAATTTATTCTAATTATTTGATTTAATTGTGAATAGAAATTTTGGAGTATGACATACAATTTTATAATCATTGGAACTATATGTATATTCAATTTTAAAGTTTTGACAATTTTTACTTTAAAATTTCAGGACTTTTTAATTTTTCAGTTTTAAGCCTGGAACTTTGGTAAATGTGGCCCACAATCAGTAATGGAAAATTTCTGTGATATCTCTCTTCCTCTGATGTCTAAACACGTGCTTACTTTAAATTATCCGTACGATATTTTTACTTATCGGTATAGTTAATATACGAATAAAATTCACAAATAGGAATTATATAATACTCTCCAAAGAAATAGTGAAATTTTGGGTAATACAAAAAGTTTTCTTTGTAAATGAAATTTGAGTAGATGATCGTCACACCTTAATAGACGGTGCTTCGTTTCCCATTAAGCAAAAGAAAATGTTGACCATTCCGAAGTATGTATGCATGTAACAAAACTTTTTCTGACTCATACCTACTGCCGGTATTAGTTCGCAAGCATGCATACACAAAGACCAATAATCTTCGCGTGTATTGATACGCACACTACACATAGAGCTCTGACGGTTAGTCAGGAAAGCCCTTACGCTAGTGTACGCTTCCAGAAGGCATTATGCTCCCCGTATCGTACAGTTTGAAGCGGCATTTGGAGAATCTAGCCGGCAGCCGACCAACGGACCAATCAACGAGCCGCTTTCGTTTTATGCCCATATATGGCAAGAGCTGTGAATCCGAGTGGTGGGGGAAGCCGGCTGGACGATTCCATTCTGACTCAGGGGTGTCCCTGTACAACGATATAATAAATTATTCTTTTAACAGAAACAAACGATAACTTTCCTTCGTATTTCTCGAACTTTCGTCATTGAATGAATCATACTTTCCGAATATGTTCAAAAAAAACAGGAAAATGTAGGAAATATATAGGATGATTTGAAACATTAACAGCATGTATGCCGACCACACCTTTGGGCGAGTCTACATGACACGGTACCGGCCACGATCTCACTCACAGTACTCGCAACTCGCAGCTCTCGAGTCTTGCTCTGTCGTGTCGATAGTATACTTGCGGTATCCTTTTGCCGATCAACGATCACCTATTACGTTGGTTACTTTCTGTTCTTAAAAGGTGAGTACGTATACCATGTCTAATACACTAATATGAAACGTTTCGCGTTTATCTGTCATAAATTTCGACATCGGAAAAAGATTGACGACAAACGCCGGTGCACGAACAGCCATAACGATAGACCGATGCTGTCCTTTGTCTCTGAATTTGCCTGGTCGTAGCATGTAGTGCATAGTTTCGAAAATTCTTGTCCGTCAGTATTATACCGGAACGATCCGACAGGTTGTCGTCGCAAGTGGTTCCTGACGTGTACGCACTGCAAGACAGGTGGTCGCGACACGGTCGTTTATTAATAGCAGTACTCCGGTGCGTTACAGCACTAACCTACGATTATGCTTGCCCGTACTACGAAATGCGAGAGTAAATTTATTTTTGGTCGAAAAACGAGAACGCTAAAGAGCGTAGAATTTATTACGACAATACCTATTCCTTGAGTAATACGTATTAGGTTGCCAACTAAATTCACGACGTTTCCGCTTATTTTGCTGAAATTTCACCGTAAAGAAATTAGAAGATATGGCAGATATCTATTGGAATCAATCTTGCGTTGATTAAAAAATCTTATTTATTGAACTTTAATAAATAACTCTATAGATAAGTGTGAAAGCTGCAAACTTTGTTGCCAACCTAATACTTTTCAATTTAATGCATGTACCTGTTTGGAGTCTAAATTATTTCTCCCATTGTTTAATCTAACAAGTTTAAAAATAATTTAACAAATTCGATATTTTACTATATTTTTAAAGAAAAAATAATTTCTAGAACGCAGGAAAACAAAATATTTAATTATATTAAATATTTTCCATAACGTTATAATCCCAAAATATTATCGAAGTTTGCAAAAATTCATATGCATACATTTTATATTAATCCCTCTACGTTGATAGTAAAGGGCGTCTTCCAAATGAGCGTTCATTGTCATTTATCTTTAAAAAACTAACCAAGGTTACTTTAAAAGCTGATTGGTTACGATTCGTGAACATTCGTGGGTGAATAAATTAACGGTCAATAATCAAGTTTTAAAATAACTTCGTTTTGTATGTTCATGAGCATTCAGATTTGAGAAGACGCCCTTAGATACATTTCGCAGAGAATACTGGGAGTACACTAGGTAGAACCGATTAGATTAGAGCTTAGAATGTAAAAGGAAAATTGTGAGTTTACCGGAAACAATTATTTAATACTCGAATGAATAAAACAAAATTCTGCTGACATTGAATATGATCGAAAGAGAGCTTACGTAGCGAGGGGGAAAAGCATTGGCAAGATCAGAGATGTGCGGTTCGTTCAATTTGGCGGATGCATTCACGAAGGGTGGTGAGACACACTTCGAGTGACGGAGGAGGGCGCGAGAGGGGAGGGGACAAACCCCTCCATGGTAGAGCACTTCCATATATGGTAAAGAAAGCCAGGATTGGCTGAGGGTGTCCTGCCCTTATTGGTCGATCGGTTAGTAGTGGGGATCCCGAACAACGACTCTGTTCATATAATACACTGCAAGCCGGCTGTCAGCTACATTCTGTGTTTGGTGCTAGATCGGGCGGTTGTGCGACAGTGTCACATCCAAAAACCCGAACTCCTTGTATATAACTTTTTTTATACGGAAAAAAGAAAAACGTAAGTTATCAGCCTTGAGTTCAGTGATAGATAATTCGCGACACAGCAGGCCAGTTGAAAGAAAAATTAAATCCCAGTGCAATTGATTAGAGATAGTGTGTGGGCGATAGGCAATCGCTTGTACATCCGAACGTGGATTTCCAAATCGAGAAGTGGGTGTTGTTAGGCTTACGATGCGCTTGTGCCATATTTAGTGTGTTTTGTGTCGGGGGTTTTAAATTATTTGATAGTGTTCTGTCTCTGTAAAATACGATAGAAAATTTACGTCAGTGATACTTTGTATGTGAACAGAAACTTTTTCACGAAAAAGTACTGGTTTCCGTGATAGGAGATATTTTTCGAATAATACTCGTGAAAATATCTATCATTAAAGTAAAAATCGTATTTTCGCTACGTTTTGCTTAAACAGGTATTAAATTCGAAGTCTGGAACAGTTAAAATGAATGTATTCTTCGGAACATGTCGGATATTGACCGTTTATGCCGGGGTAGGGCGGGGCAGGGTGCGGTTGTAGTTAACGGCAATTTGTAATACACCTAGGAACTCCTTGAGTCACCATCTTTTTCAACGATTCTTCCTTTTATATTCACAAATACATCGCGTAGAATATATTTGACCGAATAATTAGTATATTCTTTCCTTTATGTATTTAATTTTTCTTACCTAAATAGTAGAGTGCTACGTGTCTTATGACGCCATCTTGGAAATATTTAAAATGTTTCACAACACATGGTATTCTTCTATTTGCCAGTTTTATTATGTAATAATATAATACGAACAACACAACGACTCAATATTAAATTAAATTTTCATGCAATACATAAAATGGAGTTAGTTACTCCAAAACTGAATCGTTCTTTAATCAGAGAATTATGAGTATTATGAAAACATAAAATATTCAAATATACACAGATAGTAAATTATTTAAATATTAAATTACGTTTGTGGTACTAATATCGTTTTTTATAAATTTGATCTAATGAAAGTACAAATTATTATTACAAAATTTATTATTATAAATATTTAGAAAAAGAGGCAAAATATGTAAAATAAGAAGTCATCAAAAATATCTATTTTTGTATATGTACAGATAAAAAAATAATATTTTTAAAAAGTCAAAAATAGTTTTAAGAATGAAAAGTAAACATAATTTGAATTTATTCTTAATAACTAAATTTAAGGATTAATTAAATATTGTATATTGTAAGAGTAAAAATTATAATCAAATGATTAATACTTACGTTATTTTTGCAGATAAATCAACAGACTAAACATGTGTGACGAAGAAGTTGCCGCACTCGTAGTTGATAATGGCTCCGGTATGTGCAAAGCCGGTTTCGCCGGAGACGACGCGCCCCGCGCCGTTTTCCCATCCATCGTTGGTAGACCACGCCACCAGGGTGTCATGGTTGGTATGGGACAGAAGGATTCCTATGTAGGTGACGAAGCTCAATCAAAGAGAGGTATTCTCACGCTGAAATACCCAATTGAGCACGGAATTGTCACCAACTGGGACGACATGGAGAAGATCTGGCATCACACGTTCTACAACGAGCTGCGAGTGGCCCCTGAAGAACACCCAGTACTTCTCACCGAAGCTCCACTTAACCCTAAAGCTAACCGTGAAAAGATGACACAAATCATGTTCGAAACATTCAACACCCCTGCTATGTACGTCGCTATTCAGGCCGTACTTTCGCTGTACGCTTCCGGTCGTACCACTGGTATCGTATTGGACTCTGGTGACGGTGTTTCGCACACTGTACCAATCTACGAAGGATATGCTCTCCCTCACGCTATCCTCCGTCTGGATTTGGCTGGCCGTGATTTGACCGACTACCTCATGAAGATCCTTACCGAAAGAGGATACTCCTTCACCACCACGGCCGAACGTGAAATTGTTCGTGACATCAAGGAGAAGCTCTGTTACGTCGCCCTCGACTTCGAACAGGAAATGGCTACTGCTGCATCCTCTTCTAGTTTGGAAAAGAGTTATGAACTTCCTGACGGTCAAGTAATTACAATTGGTAACGAGAGATTCCGTTGTCCTGAAGCTCTCTTCCAGCCATCCTTCTTGGGTATGGAATCCTGCGGTATCCATGAAACTACATACAACTCCATCATGAAGTGCGATGTCGACATCCGTAAAGACCTCTACGCTAATACTGTTCTGTCTGGTGGTACTACCATGTACCCTGGAATTGCGGACAGAATGCAGAAAGAAATTACTTCCCTAGCACCATCAACTATGAAAATCAAGATCATTGCGCCGCCTGAGAGGAAATACTCCGTATGGATTGGTGGATCGATTCTTGCGTCTTTGTCTACCTTCCAGCAAATGTGGATCTCTAAACAAGAATACGACGAGTCAGGACCATCAATCGTTCACAGGAAGTGCTTCTAAGCGCATCTTTGATATTCCTCTTGCATACTATCATTCCCTGAATCCCGAGAGCGGCCTCTGTCTCGTTTTACAGGCGGACGTAACATCAACTTCCGCGATAATTGTCTTTTGGTTGTAATTTAAGATACAGTAATGCCTTTGCTCCATTCATTTTTCATCATTTAATTTAGACACTACTGTATCTTAAACATACTTTCCGAATTCCTAAATACCTTTCCTATCCTCTATCAAATCCTTTGTATTATATATTCAAGTAACATTGCCTACGGTAACATCTAGCTAACCACCCTCACGAAAAAAAAACATCTTTCTTATTACGATATTTCATTATACGATCGAAAGTAATTTGTTGTAATATCAAATGTATTTGTCGATTCGACGTTCATGAATTTGAGCTGCAAAACATTGCGTAAATTATATCTTGGAATATCGTCGTTTGATGCAGAATATTCTCGATGCACGGAAGGTTCTTTAATTCTTATCCTCCGATTAAAATGCATTCCGCTACTTCTTTGCTCCGCGATATTTAAGACTTTTGTGTCAGTCTTTTGAGAATTCATTCCTAGCGGAGATAGGTTTTCAATTTATTAATCATATTGTTTTTTTCTTTTTTACCGTTACCAATCGTTGAGGGAAAAAGATGGCTCTTTCCTTTTTTTTTTTTAATAATGGGGGAGACCGCTAACCCAGAAAAGTATCCCACAAACGCTCGCTCAAACGAATGAAAAGACACGGTTTCGACCCCGCAAGCGTAGCCAAAGTATTATAATTTATTCCCATTGTATTGTGCAAGACCATTCACGTACACATCTTAAAGACTACTTTAGACTTATGGGATTATAAAATAAAACTCTTAAAAACATTATTACTTTGACTCTTGTGTTTTTTAAAATTACAGTTCTCCAATACCCTTTATTGGATATTATGTCCTTGATCTCCAATCCAATACATCATAGTTACGCGTGCTAGAAAAAAAATAATCATCAGTTATTTCATTTAGCATGAATTCACGTAGTTTTATACACGATGTAGCTTTTGTACTGTTCGGTGTTATTCATTATTGTAACGTAAGATTTGTGGTAAAAATTTATATTACTCTAAGAATTAGGTTTATATTTTCAGTCTAATAAAAATTATTTTCAATGAAACGATATTTGTTGGTCTTCCCATTAATTGCTCGAAAACTTCGAAATTTATAGATTGAATTTAACAATTAGGAACGATTAACATAATTCAATTTAATAATATATTATTTTATTAACCATTAATCACTACTTAGTTAATGTAAAGGGAAATAATTTTATTTCAGAAAGTTACATTTTTTTTAATTATATTTACATTTTGTTTTACTGAAACAGATAAGTTTAACATAAATATTTCATTGTTTTTGATACTTGCATAGTCATTATCAGTACAATTTTTTATCATCAATTGTAGATAAATTATTAAGTTATGACATTTAGATAAGATTGTTTCGTATATATGAATACAAAGAAATTCGATATTTAATAAAAATGGTTAAATTATCTTTGTTCGTGATTGAATTTAAATTGCGACTTAGGTGGCAGCACCATACATTTTGATTACAAATCGACTTCAGCGCGTATAGCGAACAAAAGAAAACATTTGGTACTTTTAAATTCAAATTTTAATTATTACATTCTTGATATAGTAAATATAGACGTATAACTTTAATAATGGGTGACAGCAAAATAAAAGTTATGATAAATTTATATTTTGATAACTGAACTGTAATGTAAGGAAGCTCCAAAATAAGAGGAGGGTAAATAAAGCAACTGTGTAAATAGTTTTGTGTGATCTAAATGTAGTTGCTCTGTGTTATCGTTGGAAAAGTACAACGTGATAGTTAGGTCAATGACATACATGACAGCAACACCAAGTTTCTTGAGAAGACTGATTCATTTTAATTTGTAACTTGGTTCAAGATGCCCGAACAGAATTTAAATGACCAATATTCTACTTGGGTAAGTTAATAATCTTGTTATGAATTTTATAATTTTGACACTTTGTATCACATAACCTTTGACCATAAACAATTGTTTTCGTGGCTATCAGATAAATAATTCATTATTATTGTATAATTACTTTTTTTAATACAGGATGTTTAATCTTTCGATATGTTTTATAGGTCGGTCTTATATATATTTTCAATTTAATTGTTGGTACAGGAGCTTTAACGTTACCAGCTGTTTTTAGTCGAGCAGGATGGGCTCTTGGATTAAGCGTTATCTTAATATTAGCATTTATAAGGTAAGCAGTTGATATTTGTTAATTTAAGTGAATTAAATTCAAAGTTTATTCATGTGTTAATGTGATATTTTCAGTTTTATCACAGTTACATTTGTCATTGAGGTGATGGCATCTGCCAATGCTATAATAACTTGGCGACATATTCAACATCGAAAACATGTATGTTTCTCTCAAGATTCGTCTTTCACCGAATCAGAATCTGAGGTTTCTAGACTTTTTCTATGTCTTGCTCTCTTTGTGTCTCTCTTTATTTAAGATAATAATTTAAATAGAGCAAGATGTATTTGTTTCCTTCATTAATCTTTTGAAGTCATTGCTTGGCAATGATACATATCATTTTTTATTATTTTTCAATTATAGATGCTTCAAACATTAGGAGAATCTGGCCCTTCGAATTCAGACTCTGAAGATACTCCTCTTGTTACTCCATTTGCAAGTAGTCCTGATCGTGCTGATATGACATATCGATACTATGTAATTCGAGATAAAATAGAAATGGGACAGATGGCATCAATTTTTTTCAATAAGATTGGTATAACTCTGTTTTATATATGTTTTGCTGTATATCTTTATGGAGATTTGAGTATCTATGGAGCAGCTGTTGCAAAATCTTTAGCCGATGTTGCTTGTACTTATCAACCATTAAACTTGACTTGTAATGATACAATACCAGATACTGAATTATGTTGGGAAGAATTTTCTTTCAATCGGCTGGATGCATACAGAATATTTCTTGTATGTTTAAATACAAATCTTATCATACATCTTAATTTTTAATTTCATACAATAATGATAAATATTATTTTCAGAGTATATTTGTATTCTTATTGGGACCTTTCGTGTTTTTTAATATTCAAAAAACAAAGTATCTTCAATTTCTGACATCAGCAATGAGATGGCTTGCATTTACAATCATGATTGTATATGCTTTAAAAAATCTACTCATTCATGGTGCTCAAGGAAATCCTCCAACAGCAAACATTATGGGTAAGTTTATTTGCATTAAAATAAGAATTATATGTACACTAACAGTAATCATTGGAAGCTTGCATTGCATTTAAGTGTACATATTTTATTATACTTGAGTATCTGAAATGATCACATTCACTAATATTATATTTCAGGTATACCTAGTTTATTTGGTGCTTGTATTTATTCTTTTATGTGTCATCATTCTCTACCTGCTTTGGTAGCTCCAATTACAAATAAGTCTACTTTAAATCGATCTTTGGCGTTAGATTATTTATTAATAGCATCTTTTTATCTTTTATTGGCATTAACTGGAGCATTTGCTTTTGAACATTTGGATGATCTTTATACTTTAGATTTTAGCCCTCGCGGGTCCGGTGATTGTTCCAAGAGTAATAATATCTTTATTGTTCTCATAGAGTATTTTTTGGCACTTTTTCCAGTATTCACACTGAGTACTAGTTTTCCAGTTATAGCCATTACTCTTAGAAATAATTTACAATCATTGTTCCTTAACGAAGACACGTATTATTCGTGTCTTTACAAACTTGTCTTCCCAGTATTGGCGATACTGCCCCCATATTTAATTGCCATGAGCACTAAAGATTTGTCGATATTGGTGGGAATCACGGGATCATATGCTGGAGCGGGAATTCAGTATTTAATTCCAACAATCTTGGTGTATTATGCTAGACAGAAGACAAATAAAATTATAGGTCTTGGTGTTGTTAATAAATTTGCGAGTCCGTTTTCTAGTAATTGTTGGCTCATATTTGTTATACTTTGGGCTATTACGTGTATGATTTTAGTATCAGTCAATTTTATGCAAATACATTTGCAACCTACAGGTGTAAAATTATAATAAACAGTTATAATATATAAATTTAAAATACTCTAACGCGAAAAAGAAAAGAGAAACATATTGATGCGCTAACGATGGCTCTCTTTTTAAATTTATTTAAATGTAAAGCATATCTAAAATAATTTGATATGAAATTGAATTTGCAGCTGAATGTATAATTGTAATTATCGTATTAACAGTTTTAACGTAAATTTAAAATCGTGATAAAAGTGTTTGAAATTTTTAACACTAACTTCAAAAAAACGTTACCAACGAGTGAAAGATCTCTTAAAAAATTATTATCTTTATAATTTAAACTATTTAACAGTGTAGTTATAGTATAGATAATTAATGTAAAATAATATAATAGTAAGGATAAAATAATAATAATACAGTCGAGTCTCTGTATTCGCATATCTTATAAATGTTCAATGTATATAGTGTGCTGTGTTATTACTTTATTTAATTTAATCAATGTTGTAAACTAATTGCTAAATGAAACTTTAAAATAATACAAAAATATCGCGTTACATAGATAGCATTCAATATTATCTGCAGTTTCACATACTAAACTAAATTTAAAAATAATTAATATGGAGACCCGACTGTACTTTGTGATACAATGTGTCACAATAAAACAGACAATACACTGGCACAAGTCAGGATTAAGCTTATACAAGCCAAATGAATAATCTTAATTTAAGTTTTGAACTTTTCTACAATATATGCTTTATATTTTGTATATTTTTATTTAGTAGCTAATATGTGTTGATACAGTTTCTACGTATATAAGATGTCTTTCAAATCAGTGATATGTGGTGGTCAACTAGTAATGTTTTGTCCACTGTTAAGCGGTATGAAGGTATATTTGAAACTATAAAATTACATAACTAATAAATAGGTTTAATATTAAAAAAAAAATATTAAATGCCTATTTAGCGCTTTTTTAAAACGGAATTTTGTTCAGCGATTTTTTAGCATATTTTATTTAGTATATGCACAAGAAAACTATATAAATTAAATGAATATTATTGATTAGATCAATTTAATTTATATATTGCAGAACATATTTTTATATATGATACAAAACTGCCAACAAAGTATTCAAAGTACATATGCCTCTCATACCATGTACCTGTATAAGCGGAGTATACGATAAGTGAAACATGTATACATATATTTTCTAAAAGTAAATGAGTAAAAATAAAGGAGTGATTATATAAGCTTATTTTGATTTATTTTTGTATATACATACATATTTTTATGTATTTATATTCATATGTCATACTTAATTAGACTTAGCAGAACAAATTTTAACACGAATAGATCTCTCTGTAATTGCCTAACAACAGAAGGTGGCACAGTAAAAGCTTTTTATATTATTTGTATGAACTCCTTACAATTTTCTCAATTATTAACAGTTGTTCAATATTAATAATTAGCAGAATTCATTTTATTATATTGTAAGGAATCATATAAATAATATGACTGTATACATTCATTATAATGGAACATTACTTTTACAAAAAAAATTTGAGAATTTGAAATATATAAAGAGTTATTTTATCTATTTTATATTTCTTTCTGAGCAAATGGACTAGCATAAACGCACTTTGGGTAGTCAAAATAATAAAACCAAATGTGAAACAAGATATTTACATCATTCATGTGAATTATCATTACAATATCGATGCAAAACTATTTAATGGGAAATTAAATATACTTCGTATGTAATAAAAAGTGACACATTATGTGTAACAAATATGTATAATCAACAATAAGGTTTTATAAAAAAACTTATACTGAAAATATCACATAAGTGAATATCCCAAAGTGAACACATTTAACATTAATATTAATTGACCAAAAAGTTTGAACGGACTTATAATAAATATTTATGATGCTTACATCGAGTTACATTTGATTTTTTTTATTGATACTACATTAGACTTTATTTTCAGATCACAATTCATGAACTTTGTACCAAACTGAAAAATGGCACATTTTCGTAGTGTAATAAATAAATAATACAATGATTATGCAGTTAAAGAGTTTTGTCTGCTGGGATATTTTAAAGTTAGTATGCTTGTACTACTCCGTTTTTCTTTGGTCATCAGTCTTTAATTGTACTACGTTTTCGGCCAGAACTCTTTACAATCACTTGAGTTCTACCTAATTATTTAATATAGAATATTTTTGTTTTACAGGAATTGTAGATGCAGTATTCTTAAAATTTGTCGAAATTACATTAAATGATAAGCTTCATTGATCATTGAATTTTAGGATATGTCTTTTGGTTTCTTATTCATTATCAAACTTGATTTACCAGATATTTTTAGATCAATATTTAAAAATTATAAAATTATGCAAATAAGATTCATAATGATATAAATGTATATTTTTGTTCGTTTGTAATATTAAATTAATTAAGAATTTGTTCATATAAACGGTATATACGTCAAATATTACTTTCATTAACTTCTGTTATATAACATTTAGTCAACTGCAATTTATATAACTTATGTATTTTACACGAGAGCAGCATTTAATTTACTTATTTAAAGTAAAAATAATTTAAAAGCTTCAACAGCAGAATATTTTTCTCACTTTCATTAGATTAGGTCGTTATTCGTAGTTATTTAAGTATGGACAGGGTGCATCGTCATGGCCCACACATTCTATGACAGGATCATGAGTGCTATCCCACATTCCTGGGCCACACTGACGGCAAAGTCCGGCTAATGTGCACGGTAAACGAAGAAGTTGGCGAAAATGATGAAGTAGGCCTCTTGCTTTTCTCAATATGAGGTTACCATCCATGTACATAGCTAAAGAACTAAAATGCAATAGCATTTCGTCCGTTCTAAGATCTTGTGCTATTACATCATCTGCATAAACACACATTATAGCAAGGCAAAGAAACAGATGAAAATGATCTGTTAAATAATTTACCCAACAAGCTTCCCACATTACCAGTGCTACTTCGGTAGGAAATTCTCGTTTTAGACAGCTACAATATACATATATTAAAAAATAAATTTATACATATATTATAAGAATATCAATAGCTCAATACTTACAGAAGTATCCATCTGTGACAGAATAAGAGTTCTAAGGCATCTGTATGTTTTTGAAGATGTGCATAAAAATCGGGTACCATTATTCTCACTAATTCTCTTAAATAACATAGATTTCTGTCCATATCTACATCAGTTGGCGTACATACAGCTACAGATCTTTGCATTAAACCAGCGAAACACCAAAATGCTTCAATTTCAGAATTAAGTTCAGCTAATAATGGGGCCAACAAATCGGACATACCTTGCGTATATCCTAATCGAGAATTATAAACTGCATAATTTAATAGAATATTTCTACAAAGAAAAGATATTATCAATAATGAAACCATAGAATAAAAAATTATTATTCTTAGATAAACATACTTCATTATTTCAATATTTGGATTATCTTCTCCTGCATAATAAGGATTTCCTCTGTCAGTGCGAACAACATCTTTTTCTACAATACATACTACATTTCGCCAAAAATGTTCTGCTTGTTCTGGACTCATACTCAATCTACGTTTTTGTATTTCTTCATATTCTTGTCTACGAATAGCATCAATTTGTTCTCTATCTTCATAAGTGCTTTGATAGGAATAACAGTGAAGGAGAAAAGGCCAAACAATTTTCCTTAATGCAGGTTCTAAACCACCAAAAAATATTCCTTTTCGCAGAGCAAGATCATCTTCTACTTGACCCCTTTCATTCAACAGATCTTTCCAAGCCAATGACGTGATCATTGGTACTTGTCCTTCTTCCGGATGTAATTCATCTCGACTCACCTCTGGTCGACATACCATAAAATGCCTAAATTATAAAATAAATTTTAAATACTCAACAAAGTAAACAATGTTTATATTAGTAATCCAATGCTACCTATATGGGAGAGTTTCCTCAGCATCTGTATCCAACCGTGGATAAAGCAATTGGTGCCACTGATGTAAAGTCGCTGCCAATCGATCTAATCCACCATGATGAAAATGCAAAATCTTATATTGACTTTCTCTACTCGCAACTACTAATTGACCAGAGGTACAAGCTGGATCAGCAAAAAATAATCTTAGGGATCTCATTTCACTGAGATCTACCGAAAACCTCCTACATCTGTGCGCTCTACGTAACGTTACTGGAGAAGCTGTTGCACTTTCAGGAAATGTAAGGTTATGTTGTAAAGCCAAAAGTTCAGGTGACCTCATCCATGAAGGAATCTCTTCAGCTAAAAAATAACAAATGTCACATTAACAACGGCAGTCGATTAATTTAGAGTTATGATTACAGTCAGTTAAATACCTTCTGAGGGTACACCAACAGACAAGCTACCTGTTGAGGTTAATGACATACTACGACTTTTAAAGCTAACATTATCACAATAAGGATATCTCAGCTCTTCATCCATACTCTTTCCATCGGCTTCCTGAGTTTCAATCTTTTGATCCTTACACTGTTGATTCTCTTCATGTTTCCAGTTCAAAGATTCCGAACGCAAACGATTTAAACTAATGCTATGGTCATTTTCTTCGTGTATGGTAATCGATGAACTGTCAGACTGATAATAGTCCATTTGACGATTGACATTAACGTCTGTTTCCTTAGTTTCTGATACAAGTACATTTTGATCATCGGACGAGTTTTCTCTGTCATCGTTCTTCGAATTTGTATCGTGAACGTCAACACGCGTATTCCGTGGAAATCCACCAGAACAAACACGTTCGCAATCGCCACAATTCACAGGTTCTTTCACTTCTAAACAGACGTCAACTTTCTCGCTGGTATTTTTATACTCACATTTCAAATCATAGCTTTCTTCCGATATCTGAGAGTGATGCGAACTTATATCCACGTCTCGATGAATGATACCATCAAGTTTTCTTGCGCTTAAATTTTCTAATGTCGTAGGATGTTTACGAAGCGTACTGTTAGGAATCCAGCTGAGATGTAAAGTCGGTATGTTCGAGTTTTTGTTAAATCTACAGGTTATGGCCATGTAGCCAGGGTGATGCACCACGTCGGAGTTTTGTCTCATCAAAGTTGGCGGATGAACGCAAACATTGTTCTTACAGAATAAAGCCTCACCATCCTGATACATGGTGCGACGATTGTCTTGATTGCAATCGCCTAAAATATAACTGCTTGCCTTTCTGAGGATATTTGGCAAAGGCATCTTCGTCCTGAGCAAATTGGCCCATCCAAATCATCTAGTTAATTTCATCAAAGCGTTGTCCGAAATTTTCGTTTTACGCGGTTAAAATTCCACCAATCATTGAACAGTTATGCTGAGATTGTTAATTGATGATAAATCATCGTGTATAGCTGGCAATTAACGAACCCATAGGAATTCTAATCTTGGCTTGCACTGGAGAACATAATATACGAGTATAAATTTCAGATCCCAGTTCACTGTGCAGTTTTTTCAATTTTAATCAAATATTTCAATGTTTTCATGGAACATGAAAGCTGCAAAACTCAAATTTTGTTACGTAGACGTGCGCGAACAGATGCGGTATAGAAATGCTACGATGAACTGATTTTTCGTCCTGCAGTGTTTCCTGTAATCGTTTGCTTGTTTAAGTATGCAAGCATGTTATCAAACCAATTAGCCTTGATACATACATAAAGCTGAGAATACATGTGTACATACGAAGAAGCATGCATTTTAATTGTTGTATTTGTGATTTCTACCTTTCAAAGTCACCCTTATGTTACGAGGAGGGCAACGCGTTGACGAAGTTTCCTCAAAGTTAGAGAATCAGGAACTGTCAGGATTCCATTACGTTCATAAAGTATTAAGAAATTTTATGGGATTAACTTCTATTCAAATGAATTCATGAATGAAACAATTATTATTGGCACGTTACCATTCGTCGTAAACGTAATCAAACTCTGAATAGAGAGAACGAAGTATTTATGATAGTCACTACCAGATTAGTATTATTACGTGACGTTCGATATTCACTTGTTAACAATGAATAAGTTACAAATCTCACATCACTTCGATTCACTGCTCAATGATGATATAGTAAAACGTGTTTGCCAACAGACAGAACACAGATACCCCTTATCCAAGATCAATATTTCCATCTGATCGTGAACCTGGTGGTTGGCTTACTACCCGAGCCACCGACATACCGTTGTCCAATCTTGTATATGCTGTTTTTATTGATTTTTCTTCTTGCGTTAAATTTGAATCGCTCTTTTCCCGATTTTGCAGATATTTCTTACATACTGTTTGTAAATAAAATTGGAAATGAAAAAATAATTTTGTATTATAAATTATATATGTTCTGATACTTATTACAGTTTTTTTCTTTAGTTTGTATTAAATAATTTTATTATCAAAAGAAAATGTAGTTATAATTACACAAATCTAAAGCAACATTTAAAAATACAAATGGTATATTTAGACATATAAATATTTATTGATTTTTGCATGTTTAAAGAATTATATAAAATCTAAATCATAGTTGAATCATTATATTGTATTAATTTATTGCTTCACTCAAATTCATAAAAAAAATATCCAAATGATACTGTATTTGATATTGTACACTTCTGTTGCTTAATAGTTATAATTGTAAAAGATATCATTATATCACAGATTGCGGTGTAATAATATACATCAATGTAGTTCATAATTAAAAAGTATTTTATGATTATTATCAAGTACTAATGCTGCTTTAGGTCCACGTTTTAAATAAGATATTGTAGAATATGCAGAAAAATGAAAATCTTCCTGCAAATACCCATTCACAAGTAAATGTCCTACTATAGCTTCTCCTGATTCTCTTGTAAATTTTGGCACTGGTATAGAATTTACTCTTAATGTTGAGGCACCCTTACCATACCAAGCATCTATAAGTTTTAAGGCAGTCAATCTTGTTTCACTTTGTACTGCTTTAGTCATTATTTCATACAATTGTCTACAATATAGGCTTATATTTACTTCCTTTTTTTCTTTAGGTTTTCTACAATGATCACACATTTCTGCACAATCACTTTTAGTCCAAGTCTCTTCAAAGTGAGTTGCAATTAAACTACGTCTACATGAACTTAGATCTAAACAGTATGCTAACATTTTATACAAATTTTGTAAACCAACTTTATCTTGAAATACCATTGTGCTTAATTTAAATACATCTGGTAATCTATATAATACTATACATGCTGACTTTTTTCCATCTCTACCAGCGCGTCCACTCTCTTGATAAAAGTTTTCCATCGATTTTGAAATACAGTGATGAATAACAAATCTTACATCTGGTTTATCAATACCCAATCCAAAAGCAATAGTGGCAACTACTGCTTGATATTTCCCAGATATCCACTTAGAATATACTTCTGACCTATATTCTGGTTCTAACATTGCATGATAACATCCAACTTTTATACCTAATGACCTTAACTCAGTTGTTAGTTGTTCTGCATCTTTTATGGTAGTTGTGTAAATTATTCCAGATTTATCTTTAAACCTATTTTTTAATAAGTTTTCTATCATAGCTAAACATGTACTTTTATCTGATGGTTTACGACGAACTTCATAAAACAGATTTGGTCTATTGAAAGTAGCTCTTAGAACTAAACAACCCTGAATATCTAACATTTTTTGAACATCCACAATAATTTTGGCTGGAGCAGTTGCAGTCAAACCTAAAATTGGTACACCTGGAAACATGGACTTTAGAATTCCTAGGAATTTATAATCAGGCCTAAAATCATGACCCCATTGACTGCAACAATGAACTTCATCTATAGCAAAGCGATCTAAACGTTTCAATTCAAAAGCTTTTTGCAATTTACTCATAAAACGATTTGATTTTGCCATATACTCTGGTGTGACGTAAATCAGTTTGAGGTCAGATTTCTTGTCGATAAGTGCATTCATTATAATTTTTACATCTTCTTTATTTCCTTTTGCACTTAACATCATAGCTTTTACATTGTTTTTATGTAATCCATGTAATTGATCCTCCATTAAGGATACTAATGGTGATACTACTATTGTTATGCCCTTACTAATAACAGCAGGTAACTGATAACACAAACTTTTACCACCGCCAGTTGGCATAATTAAAATAACATCTTCATTAGACATAACTGCATTCATAGTTGGCAATTGTAGTTCTCTTAATTTGTCAATTTTAAAAACATCTTTCAAAGCTTTCCTCAAGTCTTTGGACCAACTAAAATCTTCTTTATTCCAATCCTTCTTTGATACATATAAACTTTTCTTTAAAAGTGCGTCATCTCGTAATTTCTCCTTTCGTTGAACCAAAATCTTCTTACGATCCTCAAGTTTTTGTATTTCAGTTTCAATTTGTTTTAATTCATAATCAATAGCAGCAATTTCACTTTCTCCAATATCTAAAATAATAATGATATGAATATTATCATCAATAAAAGGTTGAATTAAAAATGTGATATAAATTAACAGAATAAATAAAAAAAATTAAAAATATATTCAAAATCGTATATCATTATTTTAACAAATTTTGTTTTTACTATTGCAACATTAGCATCATAACAAACCTTGGTCCTCATTATCCAGAATTATTATATCTTCTGAATTGCTTGCAGACATTATAAATTATAATTTTAATAACGTTTACATAAAATAGTATTAGTAAAAGCTACTGTACATTTTATTAATAAATAAATAAAACTAACTATTGGTTGAATTAGAGTATAAAATATCTGCAATCATATATTTATAGTCGTATATAACCTAGCATTTAATGTAGTTTCATGCCGGGGTTATAGAAAATTTCATGAAAGAATAGGATCATTTCGCGCAACTCAACTAAGTTAATGAGGTCGCTTCAGTGCTTGTGCTGCTCCACCATGACGCATTTTCTACTTCATTTGTCATATACATAGTGGATAAAATATACGAGTACTAGGAAAAGGTGTAAAAACATTAATTTAGAAATACAGAGATAAAGTGTGAGCTTGCCAAAGATTTGTTACTTTCCTATACATATTTTATGCCCTCTATTAAACTAAACCTCTAAGATAATGCTAAACAAATGATTAAACTTTTACATTCACATACATATTATTTTAAAAGTTTATTTACAAGTTTCCTAAATAAAAAGTCACCAGGTATATATATCCTGTGCTAGAGAAATCATAAGTGCGCACACATATTATTATTGGGTACCAACCAATCATGATCAACATGTGCAGAATAAACGAAAATCACTCCTTTGATGGTTCCATTCTCTCATGAATTTGACTATATTTTACGGATCAGCTGACACCAGCTGTTTTTTGGTGATACTACGTAGCTATCAGGCAAGTAAGAGATTGCTTAGTGTTTGATATTAAATATATTAATGGCAATGATAAATGCAATAGTTCGCGCGTGTCCCACTTGGGTTGAAAGTACATTAACATGTCTTTATTTTAAGGGTATTTCTTTTTCTTATCAAATTTTCTCTAAGATTAGACTTGATTGTTTACTTGATTACTGTTGAATTTATCTTATGTCGATTCCCATTCCAATATTTTCGTAAGTTTTGTCGGAATATTTGTAGTCAGTTTTGTTTGTACATGTAATTCTATGTATTTAAAAGTATTTATCTTTTTATTGCAAAATAATTTACCGCACAACTTTTTTTTCGTTTTTTTATAAAACATGATGATAATTTCTGATATGATGACAAAGCTTTATCCGCAATTGTAAAAGTAACCAGTTTTAAATTATTTTATATATTCGATATTGTAAATATATTTGAATATGCAAATGTTTATAAATCAGTTTTATTAATGCATTAATTTCTGTTGTTTCTTGTATTGCACATATATAAAATTTTATCTGAAAATGTTATTATAATTTCTTTTAATTGTTATTTTCATAGTAAGTCTTTTATCACAGATATTACACGTTCTTAAGATAAGGATAAATATTGCTCATTCGATGTAATAATACTGTAACTGAAAATTTTATATATAAAGAGCAGTTGTTACTTATATTTTTTAATGGTAGAGCAAAAAAAATTCTTGAAAATGATCTCATAAAGGCAGCTGTTTTTGTATAATATTTGTATAAAGTTAAACCTTTCAATACATTTAAGCTTATTTTCTCTAAAATTATGAGTTTTAATTCATAGCATTATTGCAGTGAATGAAATATATGTACATATGCTACAAAATTGTATATGAATAACAAAAATAAAAGTATGAATATAACATTTTTGTTTTCATAGCAAGAAATTTTTCAACAAATGGTTTTTATGCAACAAATAGAGTTGGTACTGTAATAACGCAAGTAAATATGAAGGTTCAAATATTACCTGCACTTCAAGATAATTATATGTATCTTGTGAGTATTTTCATATTGTTACATATATTGTTTATGCTATACAAAGCTTCTTTAATTATTCAAAATTTACAATAATTAAAATTAATATTTAAAAAATATAGTATATTATCTAACATAGAAGTTATTATATTTCATAATTTGAAAAGATTATTGATGAAGCATCGCAAGAAGCTGCTATCGTTGACCCAGTTGATCCTGATAGCGTTGTTTCTGCTGTTCAACAAAATAATGTAAATTTGACAAAAGTTTTAACTACTCATCACCATTGGGATCATGCTGGAGGAAATGCAAAATTATGTAAGAAATTTAATAATTTACAAGTATATGGTGGTGATGATAGAATAGAAGCACTCACATGTAAAGTAAAGCACGATGACACTTTCAATATTGGAAGATTACAAGTTAAATGTCTTGCAACACCGTGTCACACCAGTGGACATATCTGTTATTATGTTACAGGAGATCAAGATCCTCCATCAGTTTTTACAGGTAACTTAATGAAATACATAACTACTTAAACATAATAATAATTGATAATAACCAAATAGGAGATACACTTTTTGCTGGTGGCTGCGGTAGATTTTTCGAGGGTACTGCAGAACAAATGTATAAAGCTCTTATAACAGTTTTGGGATCATTGCCTGATGAAACTGTAATTATATAATTATTCTTACATTATTGATTTTCAACAACTATCATTAAAAAAGGAAAAAATGAATTATGGATATTTTACAGAAAGTGTACTGTGGTCATGAGTATACAGGAAACAATTTAAAGTTTGGTAAATTTGTGGAGCCAGAAAATGAAGCTATTCGTCAAAAGATGGAATGGGTTCGTATTCAGCGCGAAAAGAATTATCCTACTGTGCCAAGTACTATCCAAGAAGAAAAATTGACAAATCCATTTATGCGAGTTCACGAGCAGTCTGTTATGGATCATACTGAACAAAAAGATCCAATTCAAACTATGGCATTTCTTAGAAGGGAAAAGGATAATTTCAAAGGATAATTTTTTTACTGTTTCATAAAAACCAGTGATAGTAATATAATTTTTTTATAAATGTAAAATAACTTTCCTAGACAGCATTTTATTAATCTTGTTTAAAAAATTTTATTTTCATTTATTATACACAAATATTAACATATGTGCAAACATATAATTATAAATTACGTATTTACAAATATTATTAATCTTAAATATTAATACTATGTTATATTTAAAGACATTTGATTTGGTGTGTCTTCCGATTTTTTATTATATATTTGCATTTCAGCAACATATTTTTCTTTGGATCGTTCGTACATGTCGTAATATACCTGGAAGAGAATATGAATGATAAATATGTAATGCAAATAGTGGAAAGGTGTACGTAACTTTCTTTCTGATACAAACTTTTTTATCTTCTGAACTAAGAGATTTCCAAGTAGTTGCAAGTTGTCTAGTGAGTTCTTGTTTGCTTGGTTCTGGTTCTCCAGCTAAGCGTTCCATAACTCGAGGTCTTTGTTCTTGACAAAATTGGAAGAATGGATTCGCTGGTCGTTTTGGTGCATTTGGATCAGTTTTTGCACCTTTTCTTTTTGTTACTTTTTTCGTTTTTTCCTCTTTAGAATTATGGGCAGCAGCCTTTGTTTTTTCTGGTTTAGTTGTTACTTGAAATATGTTATTTTCTTCGAGAACTCCCATAGGTGCCTCTCGCCAACGATCACCATGTTGATCCAAACGATCAATTAAAAATCTATAACATAAGGAATACTTTATTCAAGCATAATATTGATACATGATTAAACACTAACCACGCACATTATCCAAATATTTGTTATTTTAAAAATAGCAGACGATACTGTAGTAATATACAATACATAACCTAGAAATTAAACTAACTTTTTTTCCTTTCTTGTACGTTTAAGAAGTTTTCTTACTCGTTGAATTCGATACACTAATCTTTCATTCTCCTATAATTGTAAATAATTCATTAGTAGTAAAAATTATCAAAAAATTGCTTGTATACAGTCTTAAAATTAAATACAAACCTGCTGCAAAACTTCACATCTATCAAGTAACAACTGGTACTTTCGTTTATAAATATCAAACTCTTCAGGCTCTACATCGTATTCCGATTCATCGGACATTTTAATCGCACCTTTTAATTAAAATAAATTAATATCTTTAACGTTGTTTTTATACGATGTCGACAGATCTTATACCATTATTTACCATAATAGAATAGTAACGTGATAGATGCCGCTAGTACGATTCTCTTATCAACGAATTAATACTCTTCAAAAATATTAATTCTAATATTATTAACAATAAATCTTTTAATTTCATTAGCATATGATAAAATCTATATTGAATAACTTAATAAATATTTGTCATAAATTAAATATTTAATACAAGTTCATAGGTCTAATTTAATGTAGATGTACAATAATATGTTTTCAATAATTGTTAATAAATTCACTTAAAATAAAATTTTCGTTGATAAAAGTGGTAAATACTTGTTTTAACATACTGTAAATAAAATAGTGTAACTTTTATTTACTTTATAATATTATGTCATCTATTCGTGTGTTTATTAAACAAAAAAAGAAAATTTCTCTTATAGGTTTGAAAGAAATTTCTACTACAAAAAATTGTTTATATATATATATATTATATATATTTATAGTATTTACACATATTATTATTACTTCATTTATTAGAATGCTACAAACAATAAAGCTTCAGATATAATACAGTTAAGTATGAAAGTAAAATCACGTTATAAATGAATTTTGTTTTTTATTTAGCCATATTTTGCACCCTAAATTGTGTCGTCCCTATCTGAGCGACCAATGAGAATCGCCAAAAGAAGGGTTGCGTCGATACACATGCGCACTAATCACGGTTCACCCTGAGACTCGAAACACGGTCAAAATACGTATTCGTCTCCTTGTTGCGTTATTACTATCTTTCGTCGCTTCTTGAAATCTTAGATTTTTCGTTTAAGTGGTTAAGCAAATATTCCCTCAGTGCCAGTGATTCCGTCGTCCATTTGACCGTTTTGTACATCGATCATTTTTTTAACCATAGCTGAACCGTTCGCGTGTTATTAGGTTGTTTTACTAATTTGTTGTAAATTATTGTTTCCCGCGCGTACCATGCAGTACATCACAGTTTTTTAGCATTCGCTTCAGATCGGTGGGTCGACTTTTGGTAAGTACTATCTCCAATTATTTTTATTTACAAATTAATAACAAGCAGATGTTGGACAAGATTTAATCGCGTGCGTAGAAATGGGTAGAAGGGGTTTTAACGCAACACGCGCGTGCGAAAGAGCTTGCTCGTGAAATCAATAGCAACCATTGCGGTTATGGTAACACGATCAGCTGATCGGCCAATGCTTATTTTGTTTACATGCACTGTATTATACGATTGTCCAAAGTGAAATTTATCGTGCTGTTCAAATTCGATGTACTAATTCCTCTACAATGTTTAAAATACCGCTATTACACGTGTTTAGTATCATCTTACCCGGCGAGCAAGTAAAGTTAAATTGGTTAGAAGTTATTTTTATTCTATTTTTACATTAATGTGGATCACAGTTAAAGATTTAAATATTTCTTTTGGAAGAACGTCAGAAGTAACTTTCTCGAAGAAGTAAAAGTAGTTTTATAACATGTTTATTTTGAATAATAAATTAAGTGGTATAGATTCAGTATTTATAGAAAAGAGCTTCGTTAAGCTGCTATGTCGCAGTGTAAAATTTAGGCCTTTAATACGGTTTCGATGCTAGAAATAAATAGTCATCTGCAGCGGTTAGTTCATGATATTTAGTGGCTTCTTGTTTAATTTAGACGCGTTATATTCGTATCGTGAGTTTGATACAATTACACGATAAAATGATTAATGGAATATGTTAATATATCATGAATTTTAATCGATAATTGACATGGACCTATATTCATGGTAATTGATGCGTATAGATAACCTATACATAAATTCCCAAGATAACTTACAGAAAATTTATTATAAATATTTGATACAGTGTGTGATCATTAACATCGATTGTCGATAAATCGATTATTTACGCATATTATAAATATATATATTGGTTTGATAAAAATAAATATTTATTTGGTGATATTTATAATCGGTAAAATATAGAGGTTACAATTACAATAAATAATAGAAGTAACAACTTATTTTAATATTTCATAACATCAAAAGATTCGTTTAAGATTGAAATTATATTTGCGAAAATCTTTATATTAGATGGTAGACCATAAATTTTGGAAGATATTAAATACCAAGGCTAAAAAAGATATCGTATATTCAATTCACAAATATTTTTGAAAAATATCTAATTTCGTACATAGAATTTTTGTACGGCTATAGGTGATACGAATAATTCCTACAGTTCTTGAGACAAAAAAAAATATTAAAAGCAAAAGTTGTTTACTTTCATAAGGTCAGTACGTGTTGAACAAAACTTTCCTTCAGGTAGAGATGCTGAATTTGAAGATCACTTTTATTTGATACCTCTTCTAACGTAACACATTTTATTTGAAACATTGTTTAAAAAAACCAATAAAGAAAATAAGTGAAAATTTTTATCGATTCACTCTGTAGAGTTAGACTAATTAATAACATTTTACGATGGATATCAAAAATTAAATTTCGATTGTTGTTTTATAAGAGTAACCTATTATTCTGCTAAAAACTCAATTTGAAACAATTAAGTTGTTAACCCTTATCGGCCGTAAGTCACCTCTGACGTGACATCATAATTTTACCATATATGTCAGTATGTCATGTGGGAAGTGATAGAATTGAACAAATTGAAATATGCTTGTTAGCGGCCATGCATTTTTGTGACTGTATAAAAGTATAATTGATCATAACAACAATTTTCTATAGTTTCATTTATCGGCGGATAAACAAAATTTGCAATAAACTAAAAAATTAGCGTGCAGGTCTTTGATAATTACTGTATAGTAGTTATTTATGTGACCATATAGCACGTAATAATGTAATGCCTGACGTTCTAACGCGTGGCGATTTAATACGTAGCTGTGCATTCCATGATGATATAACGTGTGGCAATTTAATGCGTAGTTATGCATCGCATGGTAATATAACATGCAGCAGTACAACACGTGGTAATATAACGCGAGCTGATTTAATGTGTAGCTAGAGAACGCGTGGTAATATAACACGTGATGATATAAAGCGTGGCGATATAACGAGTGGTAATATAACACGTGATGATTTAACACGTGGTAATACAACGCATAGCGATATAACGCGTGGTAATACAATGCGCAGCAATATAACACGTGGTAATATAACGCGTGGTGATATAACGCGTGGCGATATAACGCGTGGTAATACAACGCGCGGCGATATAACGCGTGGCAATATAATGCGTGGTAATATAATGCGTGGCGATATAACGCGTGGTAATACAACGCGCGGCGATATAACGCGTGGCAATATAATGCGTGGTAATATAACGCGTGGCGATATAACGCGTGGTAATACAACGCGTGACGATATGACGTGTGCTAATGCAACGAGTGGCGATATAACGCGTGGCGATATAATGCGTGGTAATATAACGCGTGGCGATATAACGCGTGGTAATACAACGCG